TCGATAAACGGGGGTGGTGGGGCAGAGGGGGATTATTCTTCTCGAATGATTTCGTCAAATTACCATGAGGCCCCTAACTGTCGGTAGGCGAGCCAGGACAAAACATTCGTAACGAAACGAGGACCCGGCGCGCGTTCGTACGTGACCGAGAGAAACGAAAACGACGCGACTCGCGCGCGTTTTCATGGGCAACGCGTGACGAGAGATGCAACGAATCGTTAAAATGCCTTGTAAACTACCTCTCTGTTTTTTCGGCCTCGGGGGGAGGGGAAAAAAAAAAAAAAAAAAAAAAGAAACGAAACCCACCGAATTGAAAAGCTGCGGGCCCGTGGATTCACGCGATTCGTTCGGATCGATCGAACATGCGTTAACATCGAATTTCTTTTCTCTTTTCATTTTCTTCACTTTTTCTTTTTTTTTCGCTAAGAAGAGATCTTACGCCGTTTTATTGAATCCCGTTTTCGTGTGATAGAAACAAATACAGAGGTAAATGTTTAAAGGGACAATTCTCCGGTTTTTTTTCTTTATCTTTTATTTGCATTCCGTCGAAGGCAATAAAATGAATACCCCTTGTATCTTTCATTACTTACATTTGCTCCTTTGTATTTTATTCGAACTTGAAAGTGTCGTTTTTGATCAACATTTATTACGCGTATTAGTGGGAATTTGTTTTCGTACATGGAATAAATAATAACGTTGCAAAGACACCTTTAGATTTTCGGGAAACTATAACTATAATTTTTCTTCTCATACGCTTATATACTTTTATGCATTTACATTATCCTTTTATACTTTATATTTATCCATTATATTCCTGTTTTATCCTTTATTTGCATTTTGTTGAAGCAACAGGTACGTCTCGTATCTTTTATTACTTGCATTTGCCCCTTTTTATTTCCAACAAATTTATGCCCTTTACATATACATTTCGTATATCGATGGGAATTTTTTTCTCGTATATGGAATAAATAATAATACCGTAAAGACATTTTTAGGTCTTCGAGTTTCTTTTGGAAAACTTAGGTAAAACCACACTTATGTGTTTCACATTATCCTTTTCTACGATACATTTTTATATCGAGATATCGAACATGCAAGTAAGCAAATCGTTTCTATGAATGTTATTCCGAGCCGACGTTTTTATTTGGCGATTGTTTTCGTAATGAATATTAAAGGGGGGAAAAAGAGAGAAACACGTGTGGTTCGATGAATAAATAATTCATGCTGCGGACGGCGCGCAGCAAGACTCGGTTGCGCGCGAGATACATACGAATTCCCTCGGAGCATGATTTAATCCTTCCCTTAATCATGTGTTTACTACAAAATCGTAGAATCCTCGTTCAAAGTATTTCCCAGAATCCTACTACGTACTTCTTGGAACATTTCTTCTATTGTTTTCATGATTTTTTCTCTCTTTCTATCGAAGAAACCGAAGATTATTTCGTTCATTGAAATAATATCATCGTTCAAGTCGATCGATAATATCATCTTGTGTCGACTGTATTGTTTCCACGAAACATTCTCGTC